TCGTCCTTGTCTCAAACAGTAGCTGGAATTCCACTCTCTCTTGATCAGCGATTGTATTGAATAGCAATATTCACTCCTGTACACAAGTGTGGGACTGCCAATGTGGAGTCAACATTTTGGACTGGCAAATAGGTTTTGAACGTAGTTGCAAATACTGTATGTTTGAACGTACTGTACTTGCAAATATGTTCAAACGTACTTTCAGATACGTTTGAAAGTACTTCAGTACTTCTGTAGTCCTGGCATGTCAGTTTGTGTCAAGATGAAGATTTCCAGTAGAAGTGTCATTAGTTCAGTCTGGCTCCACATTCTGCAAGCTGCGTTTGAGATCGGAGGCTGAGGCACACACGAAAGCTGACATACGGGAGAGCTAAAATGCACCTTCTTAAGAATATTCTGTAATGACGTGATGAATATTTCACAGTAGGAATATTTTAGTGAGTTTTGAGTCTTTTCTTTTTGCTTGCCTTTTTTTTTTCCGGCAGGAAACTCAAAGATAGGAGGCAAGGCAATAAGACAGAACTCGGCACTGCCTGTCAGTGCGCTTTGCACGAATTCCACTCTGACACAAGTAAGGTCTCGACGGAAAAGCTAAAAACAGATTTGGCTGTGTGATTTCAGTTCATGTTAACGGGCAAGCGGGAAAGTCACTGCTGAGTAGCTTTTTCATCTCAGCTCATATTAAGCAGTAAAATCAGATTTTACTATGGCCTTCAACAATGTTTTTCAAATACAAGTACAGTACAGAACATCGTGCGTTTGTTTTTATGTCAGTGTGCAGCCCTTTGCCTTGCGTCAGTGCAGAGTCCTGAGGGCCGGCAAATGCTGATCCGTTACTTCCACTTCGAGGCTTATACCGCTGTTGGTTGCTTGGCAACCCTCATCTTTTGCCTAAAACCGCGATAAGATTGGAAGGACATGCATGGAATGTTGATGAAAAAGCTACATGGAATAATAATAATAGAGACAATGAAGTGGTTGTTGAGATTGTTTTTTTTCCCCCCATACCTTTTAGATAAAAAAACTTCTCTGCTGGAATTCAAACCTCAAAAATAAGATTTAAAAAAATCCACACCAACTCCCCTTTGGATTTCGATGATCAAATGAGACCCATTTCTATTCTCCTGATTGCAGTCTTTGGTGTGGATCGGTTTAGTCTGCATGCCATTTTATTTTCATTATTTCATTATTTTTTTGATTTCCAGCAAACAGCTTCCAGGGAAAAGCAGCACTTGATTACACAGTATGACACTTTTTTGTTTATTTTAGCTTCGCCGGGACTAATATTTATTTGACTTGTATTAGACTGCATGACCAACTCTTCGAGAGGGGTCACGAATTATTTGTCCTGCAGTTAAAAATGCAGTAACCTGCTTGTTGATGAATAAAAGGAATCTAAAAATCCTGTAAATGTCTGAACATCAGATGTTTCTCCCTAAGGGGAAGATGTATTGATTGAACTTACTGGCTGGCAACTGTGTCACCCATTTATTCGTATGTACTGTACACACGATGACACGGAGCGTCGAGCCAATATACTGTATGTTCTGCACATGTGCCCATGTGTATTTTTTATATATACATGCGTTTGTAAAAGGACCGATTTGCTTTAGGAACTACGGTATTATCTGTCGAAATGTGTTGTGCCCTGTTTGTGGTCAGATACTCATTCCTTAAATGGTAAAAACCACCACATAGATGCTAATTGTTACCTTGTATGCCTATGGTGGTTCCCATTGTTAGAAGCCATTGGAGGCTGTACAATTTATTTAAATACACTATGTATAATTATCGTTGTTTTATGTTTAGTTTGACAGTAACCTTTTGCTGAGAGTGACAATAAACAGCGTGAAGCCTCTTTTTGAAGAATACGTATTACCGCTGATTTTCCAAACCAGTGCTTGTTGTGAAGTGAGTTGAGTCACATGCCACCATGCAGCGCTCATATCCAAAGTGTGCACTCACAAGTCGAAGCAAAACAATCGTCCAGTCAACAGCTTATACTTAAAAAAACTCAGGTCACTTGTATCTCAAGGCACCACTGTACTATATACTGGACATAATGTACATATACTGCATAACCATTTATTTCAAAAACACGTTTATAGTCATTACAGTTGAACCTTTTTTCAATGTACCCCGTTTACAACGTTTTCACCCTTATAACGTTCACATTTCAAAGTCACAATTTCACGTAATTCATTTTCCATGGCATGGTCTTGAGCATATGGTCTGAAAAGATGTCTGGTAAACGGAAGCAAATCTCTCTGTCTGTGAAGACTGAAATTGTCTCTCACTTTCGAAAGGGAATTTCCCAGAAGAAGCTTAGCCGAGACTACCAATTGGCAAAGTCAACGATTTCAACAATTATCCGTAATGGCAAAAAAATTGTGGCGCAGTTCGTGGCCAAGAGATTGAAAGATGATCGGAAACGGCTTCGGGACGCGGCACATCCTGAACTGGAGAAGGCACTTTTCATTTGCTGACTGAATGTCTTCTTCATACTGTACATGTATTATACATCGTAGTTGACGGCCATTTTATTGGAAATGGTTTCAACAAACTACCATTATAACATACAGCTTTGTTATGTCCCTCACAGTATATTTGTAGTGAGGTTCGACTGTATATTGATGTTGGTATATATTGATTTATATTGATATTGATCATATAATTTAATGATTATAATTTAATTTATCGTTTTGCTCCAGATGTATGGAAAACAAATGTTTACAAATACCACGGGGTGGTGACGAGCAACTTGAATCGTAATAACACATTGAAGCCTCAGAAGCGAAGGTACAAACGAAAAGAGCAAATGTGTCTCTCTCTCATATGGTAATGTTTGAAGTCATGAATTGAAATTCCTTGTTACTTGCTGCAGGGTCTTCTCTGCCTCGATCATTTCATCATGGCTGTATCTGCTCCTATTGCTGCCGGCTGCATGAAGAAATCTGCTCATGTTCTTGACTTGAGGATGTCTCTGTCAATACTGTACTCGCCATTATTGGAATACTTTGGACTTTTTCTTTCTTTACCATAGTAAACAACTTAAAGGGAAGACAACTTCAATTTAATGCATGAATGTAGCTTTGCACATTTTATTTTGAACAAGATATAGGATGTATGAGTATCATTTCTATTTATTCCAACTTTTCCTGAAACCACAACATTTTCCCCAAGTATTTATTGGAATGAGCTCACGGAAAAATGTTTGGGAAGTGTTGGTCCTTTGAGGAACACAAACAATCCAAATGATACTTAGTTTAATCCAACTGCTACCATGCCGACGTTATTGTTCACAAGCTAGTAGTCACTTTGGTTTTCAGTCAGTCAAAATGTAACCTAACGGTATGTGCTGTTGCCTCTTTTCTTTTTTTTTTCCTTTTCTTTTCTTTTTCAAATGATGGTGCCCCGTCGTGGGCGGCACGGTGCCGACTTCCAGGGTTCGATTCCAGCTCCGGCCTTCCTGTGTGGGGTTTGCATGTTCTCCCCGTGCGTACGTGGGTTTTCTTCGGGTACTCCGGTTTCCTCCCACAATTCCAAAACATGCATGGCAGGTTAATGGAACACTCTAAATTGCCCCGAGGTGGGAGTGTGAGTGCGAATGGTTTTTCATTTATGTGTGCCCTTAGATTGGCAAGCAACCAATTCAGGGTGTACCCCATCTGCTGCCCGAAGACAGCTGGGACCTATCCTTGCACGCCCGCGAACCTTGTGAAGATAAGCGGATTAGAAAATGGATGGATGAATAGATGGTGCCCCGTCATCAACAATATAATCAGTTTGAAGCTTGGAAAGATGAATCTCTGTGATAACATGCATGTTATATTGGCGAGAAGAATGAGCAATGTCATCACATTGCCAGGCGTTATTAAAAACGTTATTGACATTTGTTATGCAGCACGTACTCTCAGCTGAGTTCAGTAAAATGCTGTTTCTGCATATTTAAAGAACTATTCGTAGTGCCGCCATACAGTTATTTCTCAAATGTAACTTTCATGTACAAAATGTATTTTCATGGTTTTATATGAGATAATACCAGATTGGCACATCTGAGGCAACCAAAATGAGAAAAAATGAAGTCAAAATTGCTTTTTTTTTCCACTTGGGGAGTAACAGTACCGGTACATTGAAATGTGTCAAATTTCAATTTGCTCTGCTAGGCTGTATGTAACAAGATCATGTGTCTCTCAGAATAACACTGGACTAATATTTTGGCTTCTGTATCCCTTGACATATGAGTGCTATTAGTGTGTGTGTGTGTGTGTGTGTGTGTGTGTGTGTTGACTATGTTAAGGTGCTACCACACTGTCTCTCTGTCGTCGTCACTTCCTTCGGGCATCAGTGTTTTCCTCACGGCTCCACTCAGCTTTATCAACACCAATTGCAATTGTTTTGTATGTGTGATGTGTTTGAAACCAACATTCGCAGGCAGACTTTGTAATCCTCTGATGGGTGCTCTCATCCCTTTTTTTCTGACATGTTGTAATTTTCAAACAGGCTTGTTCATTAGGTCTGTGGAGATGTGTGCTTTTTGCTGACTTTGTTTATCCAAAGCCTGAAGCGCTTAACTGATCAATAGCATCCCAGACCGCCACATCTACACACTGCATGTCAGGTTAAAAGCCAATATGTTCCTTGCATCTCTTGAGTATACTCTATGTTTGACACAATTTTAATTGGGGAATGTGCCAGTATTGCAAAAGTGCAGAAGAAACATGCACATAAATCATACGTATCAAAGGAACTTCTATTCCCTGCATGCGGTTCCAGCAACAACTAGCAATGCTAGCAAAATTGACAAAAAATTAAGTATTTCAATTACTTTGCTTATTTCCAAATTTTGTGTCTTTTAATAAAAGAAACACAGAAGGCATTCTCAATGAGTCTTTTTTTGATTTCAGTTTTTTTCCATCACCCCAAATATCACAGTAGTTTGCCAACTATGATGAAATTTGGATGCATGATGACCTGAATCTCCTCCTATTTTCTCTCAGGTCTGGATGACTGTCTCCAGCAGTATGTGAAGAGTTTCGAGCGGGAGCAAATGGGCGGAGAGCAGCTTCTGCACATCACCCATCAGGAGCTGGAGGAGTTGGGGGTTACGAGGATAGGACACCAGGAGCTCATCCTTGAAGCAGTTGATCTCCTTTGTGCCCTGGTCAGTCACTCTCTTCACCTTTAAACTTCTCTCGAGCCGCTTTTCCATTGTACTGGTTCCACACCGGAACGTACTTGCATGCTTCTATGTCACCACCCACAATTTTACGGCTCCTGATTAACCCCAAATTAAATTCAACTATCTATTAGGCTTTGTGTTGTCACATCAAACAGCACAAGCCATGGTCAGCTAGCATAAAACTTCCGTAGCAACAGTGGTATCATATCATGGGTTTGTGCCTCTTAGTAATGTGTTCTCTCCGTCCACAGTCTAACGTGGTTAAGTGGTAGGCGGAGTCACAAAGTTGCAGCACTCGCATTCAATAAGATTGTCTCATGTCAGCAGTGGATTGTATTTAAATTCAGCTCTAAATGAAGGAAGGTGCTGGAGTATTGTTTGGATGCTGTCTTGCTGCTTGCCATTCCTGTCGCAACCAGCTTCGTTGTTCCAGTAGAATTGGATGTGTGCGTGCTTCAGTTCTGCTGTCATCTAATGTTTCCATTTTACCTCTCCTCGGTGTACCAGATGGACTATAAGCTTTTTGTTACACATAAGTACTTCTGTGATTTTCTGTTTCACTTTTGTAAATAGCTCTTTGGTCTTCTGTCCATCACCTTGTTAGTGAGTAGTATCACTCGTTTTATTTCTCGCAATGACGTACTATGATGATGTTGTTTTGGGTTAGTGTTTGTTTGCTTGTACTAACTTGTTGGAATAAAGCCTGTGCCACTGCTCTCAAACCCTTTTATCTCCGTAGTGGTCCATTCTCTGGCTGTAGGGCCAACCTTAACAAGATGGATCTTTTGTTTTCAAAAAAGTCACTCAAGGAGAATGGTAAATAATTTCAAAGGCATTAGGGTGAACTTTTTTGCCAAAATTCTGAAAGGTAATTTGGGTGCAAACACAACATTGCTCATCACTGAGCAGTTTCAAATGCATACCAGTCTGTGTTCACACAAAATTTTACATCTGCTCAAAAGCCAAACAAATGTCAGGAAAAGCCTTGTTACAATCACATTATCCCAGCTGCTTTTTTTTCACTCCTGCTCTTGAAAATATGTATTATTTTGTATTGAGTTGTACAAGTTACATGCCACATGATGGGAAAAGTTTTGAAATTATTCAAATTGGCCTAGTTTTTACCATGACAAAAACCTGGCATTTCAACAGTATCCGATTTTTTTTCATCCAAACAACCACATACGGCATGTGTGTATTTTCTTCAACCTGTTTTTAAATTTTTTTTTATACTGGCTATAAAATGGTTAAACCATTTTAGGCCGGCATTGTATGCCTTGACAGCCAGCCTGTGTAGTGCCCCTGCTCCAGATTAGAGAATTAGGTGGAATTAGGTGCGACCCTCCAAGAGAGAAAATGAGGAAGAGAGGACGGGAGGTGTGAGAGGGGAAATGAAATAGAGAGAGTATGTGGAAAAAAAAAATATGCATGATGCACCTTATCTCTCGGGCACACACTGCTGGATTAGCCAAGGTTGTTTGAGTGTGTGCGCGCGTGTGTGTGTGTGTGTGTGTTTGCAGACACGTGTGTGTGTGTGCAGTGTGTGAATGCTTGTGACTGTTAATCAACTTCTCTTACCTTTCCAATTTTACAACATGGGAATAAATGGCACCCAGTGACAGTCATAGTATATACTAGGACAGGACGTACTGTACACAATTCATCATCATAACAGTAAAAGTCTCAGTATAAACAATCACCCTGTTACTTCACGCTTTGTTAGCAAATCTCTATACCTGATGAGCATCTTAAATGATGGAGGGGTTTGAAGCAAGCAACAAAAAAACTACATGTTGTATTTTTTTTCCAGTGCAAAAGGCTCTCTTCCATGAAAATTACCAAAACTGCTGAATAGCAAAAGTTAATTTTCTGCATATTTTTTTTAACCAAAATCAAATATCACATAAAATGTTAATATTATTAAGGTTCTATGGTTGTCCTGCATGTCATTTCAAATCAGCAAAAAAATATGAGGCCTCCTCACGCAGTATGCGGCATAGTAAGACTCCGTGCGAGAGCAACTCAGCGGCGTATATAAACCGAGTATGATAAACTTCCTGCTGCTACAGACGCTGACTGGCTGTAAGTGGTCACATGATTTTCTAGGCACCATCTTGGAGCGCTTCGCTCGCTGTCACTGGTGTCGAATGCAATTTCGTCCCCTGAATCTTTCATAATTTTTGGGGGGATCAAATATTGTGAAAATGCCTGGCTGTAGGATGTCACATGTGAAGTGCCAAAGGCGAGAAGCTCCACAGATTACCTGAGACGGCAAGAGACAGAAAGTATAGGCAGAGAGCGCGTCGCCAGGATCGTTACAAACCTTGTGACAACGCCTATCTTTGTGATTTGAATTCATTCTCCCTTATTCACTCTGATGTAAAAAATCAAGAAGACAAATCAATCGACAAGGCTTAGGAGTTAGTTTAGCTACGACATATTTTGTTCGCTTGTCCTTCTGGCACCACATAAGCCGCTTGTGTGATGCTTTTTAGGTTCGCCCATCTATCAAGGAATCAAATTGTTTCAGCCATTTCATAAAGGGTGTGTTTGATTCTTATAGGCTCACTATTCTGTTTGAGTAGACGAAATTGCTCTAAGGACTGAAACGTTCCGCACTCCAGTCCTTCAAACAGATTTCTTCAATGTCATTTTGAGAAAGATTGAAAATAATGGTCTAAATAGACAAGCTATTTTCGAAATTTGCAGCAGGCAATTGGCCAACAATTAAATGAGACAGCACAGTCACTTTCAAAAGTGACTCTTGGGAATGGATGGTGACTGTTTTGGATTGTATTCAATGGAGGACTTATTCATTTGTAAATGTATGAGCATGTCATGAATTTACATTTACTTTGTAAGAATGCACTTGGTGATGATGGTAGCCTCCAAGTTGGTCCCGGTCATTGTCTTTCTGGTGTCCTTCACTTCTTGGCTTTCAGCAACACTTTGCGTAAAATAATTTACTATCTGTGGCACATATTTGCCTGCATTTCATTGGAATCTTGGTTTGGAATCTCGACGAAGGCCTTTCTTGTGTGGAGTTTGCAAATTCTCTCTGTGGGTTTTGTCCACATACTCCAGCTTCCTCCCATATTAAGACCATTTCCTGAAGCTATGAATGTGCACGTAAATGGTTGTTTGTCTGCTTATAGTCTGCTTGTGATGGGTGATCAGACCAGATTGTACCCCCATCAGGATCCAGCTCACATTTGAGCCCAATGAGGGACAAGTGGTCTTCTAGATGTATAACTTGCGATCTGTGAGGTTGTGAAGGGTTAATGTTATGATTTTCATATCATAAATGATGTTTGATTATAATTACGTGGGTCTGGCAATGGTTGGAATTTCAGCATAGAAGAGGCTTTTCCCCATTCCGCTGCCATGGCAACCGGATCGACATGAAGGCAGTGGGGGGGCTACTCTAATGGCATCGTCCTTGTATTGTATTGATTGACACTCACAGGCACATATGCAAGCTCAAATTATTTTTCTCTTTGTACACACACAGATGCAAACTCACAAACACACAAAGTTGCACACAATAAGCCGTGATGGGATGATTATTTCTCCTCTTCATTTGTGCACTCTGTCCCCAAGAGGCAGACACAAATGCCATACTGAATCATAGGGAAGCCTAACTGTAACACGCGCAAACACGTTTCTAGTTCACATGTTCATCCCCATTCCTGTTCTGTACATTAGATCATAAAGAACATACTGTAACATATGCATGACCCAGTTTCAGCATTGCCAGTTGCTCTCTGTTCATCTTCTTTTTTGCCTCTTTAGCTTCTCTAATTTGGTCCCTCACTCCTCTGGCTGCCACTGTGCAACTCACTCCTTTGTAGTCACGGTGGTCGTGACTGTACTAAATTGCTCTAGAGGCAGAGAGGAAATAGAGTCTAGATCTGTGCAAGTGTGCATGTGCAATCGTCGTGTCAGCGGGAATCAGCCTCTTCCCAGCAAGACATTTGCAGGGGTGCCTTGGTTGGCTGTGGACAATGTGGCTCGGTGGGTCTGAGTGTTTCTTTGCAGGGGTCACAGGGTTGAGTAGAAATGGGCTGTATAACCTGTTAGTCCTGAGAAGACATTTTTTTCACAAAAGATGGAATATAAGGTTGAATTGTTGCATAAGCAGAGTACAAATTCACTTTATATTGGGACTGGGTGAGAGGTATTGATTTCTGTGTATGTTGGATTATTGTAGCTATAGGGCAGCACAATGTATTAGTGTCGGCCTCAGAATTACAGGATTTTATGTAGTTTACTTTTAAATTTTTTTTTTTTTTTTTAATTCAACCACAAGCAACAAAGTGTGATCGTCAAGGTAACAAGCAAATTCGCCCTTGCTTAACCCTAAAAGGAGAGGACAGGGTCCGTTGCACACCAATAACAAAGCCTGAATGTCAAGATAGAAGTGCATTAGCCTGGCTGCCATTTGTTATAAAAATACAAATAGAGGAGGAACTGGTTAAGAAATTAAATGAGGGTGGATACTTCATAGGCTGTTGGTTTCCTTCATTCACTGTACTCGTACTTTTCTGCACCAGAGACTCTCCATGCTTCGCTGTGTCATCCACAAGTACATTACTTTTCATTTTACATACAGTTAAACATTATTGTAAATCAATATATGAAGAATACTGTATATACTTTATTGGTACAACTTCGGCTGAATCTCATTTTTACTTGGAAAATGTAGATTTTAATTGTGAAAGTTCACAGGGCAGTGTTTTTTTTTTTACATTCTGACATTGTATCTGCCTTGTTGTCTCTACCTGGCAGCTCACAATAATGAATCTTGTTTTTCTTCCAGAACTACGGCCTAGAGACAGAAAATCTCCGGACTCTGTCACACAAGCTGAATGCTTCAGCCAAGAACCTTCAGAACTTCATCCTGGGTAGGCGAAGGGGAGGACACTATGATGGAAGAGCTTCCCGGAGGCTACCCAATGATTTCCTCACTTCAGTGGTGGATTTGATTGGTGCGGCAAAAAACCTACTAGCCTGGCTCGACAGGTATGAACTACACACACAATTGAATTTGGACGTGATTTTATTTCATGTAATCTTTTGCGCCCAATAATGAAGCAATGAAGATTGACTACTGTAAATAACACAAAAATACACAGTATGTTATGTACACACATAAGCTACGTCTGCACGATCTCAAGATGAATAGACCAGATGAATCAGAATTTATTTAGCAACATCAGAAAGAGCTAGGCAACACAGTGTCACAGTGTTTGGCGTGACCAAGTCACAGTCAAGAGGTCCTGGGTTCGAATGTCTGATCACTGGTGTAATCAGCTGCAATTTACATATTGGATTTGTCAATTCATTGCAAAAATAATCTGTGACTAGTCGATTATCAAAATAATCATTTCTGGTGGTCCTAATTTAGATTGGGAAAAGTTATCTCAGCCACCCGTTGATAAATTAGCTGGGTAGTCTGTCACAAACACATCTCGGTATGATACAGTCAATATTCTTATGTACGTGCTAGCATTGCCAATTTTTGAGGGTGGATCCCTGTGCCTGTGCCAGCTCAAAGTCCAAAAGAAAATGTTTCAATTCTGAAAAAAACATATGAGATGGAAAAAATATATTTGTCTAAAAATGCTGCAGACTGAGGACTTCAGGCCTTATGAAGTTGAGGGAGCGTAAAAAGAGAAGAAACACTGAGCGTTGCGATTCTTTGTTGTTTGTGCTTGTTTGCTACTGAGAATTGAGAACAAAAAAGTGTGTTAACTTTTCTTACTGGCTGGACTGCATTCACTGTTTTCGTCCTTCATTTCAGGTCTCCATTTGCCAGTGTGACAGAATATTCGTTACTGAAGAACAATATTGTGCAGCTCTGCTTAGAATTAACTACCATCGTACAGCAGGTGCCCACCCACCCCCATCGTCCTCTCCCCTACACACACACACACACACACACACACACACACACACACACACACACACACACACACAAACAGCTCCTACTTAAATGCAATCTAGTAAAATTTTAAATTGAAGCACAGTGTTAATGTTCATATTGCATTGTGCATAATATTCCAGACCATTCCATGTTTTTTTATTAAAACTTTGGCCGACGATGCTACAATATTTTAATCATAGTCTTTGTGGTGAAACTTGAAGAGCTAACTATTTTTGAGGTGATGCCCAATGTAATAAGTTAGAGAATCCTCGTACTCAACATCTGCGTGTGCAAAAGCGGTGCAAAACTGATTTGCTCACACAAATGGATGTGGAAGCTGATCCACCACGGGGGGACACATATTGCATCTGCTAATCGTGCAAAATTGTCATGCAGTCCATTTTACACCTTATGGAAAGTGTCTATGCCAATAGATTGATTTAACATACACAGTGTAATTCATCCAACCTGAGAGAAATTGCATCGGAATATTTTGCGTCTTTCAAGAAAGGTGCAAACCAGCATACAAGACGGTGCCAGTGCAGGGGAAATGAGAGGCATCATAGTGTCAACAGTTCTGAAAGTGCCATAAAAAAAATTTATGGCGACGTAGACTCTTCAGTAATGCACTTTTTGTGCTTCTAAATGATCAAAGGTCTGACTTGAAGTCAGTCACAAGAAGGAGTCATGCTATATCACTTATTACAAAACTGCTTTCATTAATGTTTTCATTTCACTTGTGCTATGCTAGCATTGATTCGTGTGCTACTTCTAGTTTGCATCTGCCTTAGAGATCTATTTAAAGTTGCAAAATCTGTTATCTGTCTCAGGTCTGATAAATCACATTGCTCGTGCAGATACTCTTCACAAACTGTGCAACAAAGTGTTTGGGAAATGTAATCATGAGTGCACCTGGTTCGTAGATCAGCTTCCACAACTACACGACCGGCCAAGTTGGCATCCATTTTTGAATGCGCAAACATTTTGTCAAATCAGGTCTTAACTGTCATAAAGTTATAAAAATAAGATGACTCCTGTTTTGTTGCCAATGCATCTAACAATGAGGCGTATGCAGGAATAGTTTATCGGATTGTTGTATTGTTCATGTTTTATGTTATGTGCGCTGTTGTGTTATTTATGTTATTTTATGTTAAATGTTCGATAAAGTGTTTGGTTACAGCTGCAGCTGTTGTGAAATCGTGATATAAAGTGGTATTGTATTGTATTGTATTGTATTGTATTGTTATCCCTACATTTTTGATTGTTGGTGGGCTGTAAGAATTTCAGAAATTAAAAAATATGTTTTGGCTCAGGAAAGGCGGGGAATCATTGCCCGAAAGAACAAAGAAAATAAACCGAACTAAAAACTCTTGATGGACAACCAGATAAATTCTGCTGAGATGTGCCGATGAGATCTAAAAATTTTTTGTGACTTATGAAGCAAAACATTTTTTTAGCTCACTCGACTTTGGAAATTTCCATTTAGTTTGTTTCAACTGCAACCATAAATGTCCACACGGAACTCAACATCCGTTGGTCTAGCTCAGGTCTGCAGTAGATCCCATTATTGTAGATTTGACAATGAGTGGAACATCTGCCCAGTGCCAAGGGCTGTTTGCAGCTGATGGGACGAGAGTGCTCTATCACAGCTGCTCCCAGCATGTTCATTGACTCGCTGTCAACCACAATCCCCAACTTCACTTAAATGCCTTGATGGAGAAAGAACACCTCCTTACTCATTCTTTTATTTCCTGTCCTCCCTCTACTCCCTATAGTGCCTTCATGTAGATTACCTACATTTACACTTGCCCCTTTTCCGTGAGTGATTGCTTCTGGAGCAATCACTTATTGACTGGAACTGCTCTATTGGACCTCTTCCATGTACTGTGCTTACTTTAGGATCCAGTTTAGAGTCAGTGCCCACAGTTAGTCCTGGAGCCTTGCGGATAACATCCATCCAGTCTTACAAGGACCAGAGTAGAGACACAGCATAGGAAACCCCACTGGTGCACAATGGTCCAAATGGGCGCATGGCTGCCAGGGTGCAGCAAAACACACAATGGGGTAAAACAGCCTGTACTAATGGATCAAGCAGATGTATTCAATGCTACCATGTGCCTCTGGTAGGCTGAGTTGGCTGCTTTCCCAGAAATAGATTAACAATCAGCAATCGTTAAATAACAATCTGTCAGGTTCACGCAAGTTATGCTGATAGTTTTCTAAAAGCTAGGTGGACTGCTCCCTGCCTATTACTGAGTAATATGCATAATCGGGACGAGTTACGTACAGAGGAAAATGTTGACTGCTGATTTCTAGTGAAATAGTATCTTCCCTCCAATTGGCCCTCTTTTTTCTCCCAAATTTTCCTTCAAGACTTTTACGCCATTTTTTTTTTCCACAGAAGAGTAGCCTCAGAGCAAAAGTTGAAATCCATGTTTGTTTGTTTTTCTCTTCTCACAGGACTGCACAGTGTATGAGACAGAGAATAAGATTCTTCATGTGGTAAGTTGCTTCTCCATCTATATGGAAGTCTGATAATAATTCGAAGTTTGAGCCCTTGAAACAAAGAAGTTTACCATGTTTGCATTCATGCTCACACATAGCACGATGAACTCGTTAATGCTGCAACCACACCATTATTTACACAGGACTCGCATACTCTTGAGATCACATGCTCATCTTTCATGGAGATTAAAGAAGGGAGTCATAATATTAGAAATGCTTCTAAGGAGTATGCAGTGCAGTTCTAACCCCCTGTATACTACAACCACAAAAAGAAATCCAGCTATTTTCTTTTCACGGTTGCAGAGAAGCGAGAGCCTATATCAGATGACTGTGGGCAAAAGGCAGATGACAGTGGTCTGGTCGGCAGTTAATCACAGGCCACTCATAGAGACAGTCAACGGTTTGCGCTCAAATTCACACCTATGGTCACTGAGAGGGTGATGTAGTGCAGTATAATGTGCCACTACACTATCAGTGAACTATTGTAATAATAATCATATTGCTGAATGAATAATGCTCTGATGATGCAACCCTCTTTGTATTCTTCATATATTGGATTTTAATCGAGATTTCCTGTGCTTAATGTTGTGGTTGATGAGTATATGTCTGGAGGCGTGTATGTGCACTTTAAAATCTGCGAGAGCTTGGGGACTTTTGTTGTTCGTGTATTAAACAGAGTGAGCAGCAAGTGTCTGATGTGGGCTGACAGTTTCTGATACGATTCAAGGTCAGGTGGAGGAAACCAAATAAAAAGCTATCAAGGGGATATCACAGAAACATGTCTGACCCAATTTTGACTATATCTGTAGATTTTTTTTAAAATTTTTTTATCGTTGAATTATATTGTCAATATTGAATGAATATACTGTTGTATCATTCCATAAACAATAAACAGACTGATCGATGTTGAAGCATGCAGAATAGATGACATATTAAAGAGTGACAAATTGAAAAAGATAAAAACTGAACAGAAAAGATTAAGATAAAGATCACGTGAGTTTTGTTTGATTTATTTTTCTCATTTTGTGAAGCAGCCACGTTTTTACATAAATGTTAGATTGATTGTCCTTGATCCAAAACTATTTCATACATAGGGTACCTGTAGATTGAACTGCACATTCTCACTTTTTATCCCATGTACTGGTGGCCCGTGTGTTTGTTTCATC